GGACATCAAGTACCTTCCTTGATATACTATCTCTCTGGCCCCATATATATATTTATGAAGATATTGTGTTGTTATGCTTTTATACACTCTCTGGTTTTCTGGTAAGCGCTAAAAAAAATTTAAGGAATTAGGGTTTTATTTTCAGTTTGTATGCGATTGTTTTAACTTATAATACAAACCAAATGCTCTATAATGTAGACTGTAATTACTTAAATTGGACATAAATAGATTTTTCTGGTGTTTTTGAACACTCATTTCAATAAAAACTATTATGCTTCTGTTTTTATAGCAATCAATTTTCCTGTTAAATTGCATTACCTGATGTAACAACAAAAAAGTAACACTCAAGCATCTTTTGTCAACTTTCAGGCATGAATCAGAGGTAATAGTTTTCTAGTGTTAATAGGAGGTAATAGTTTTCTAGAAATACTAAAGATTATACAAGAAATGAAATTTCTTGAAATTTCATAGAAAATCCAGCAATGAATTTGTGCAATTAAAAAGCAGGTTTGTGGGGAAAAGATATTAAAATGTTGAGAGAAAACAGGATATAATGATTCTTTCATATTGGTGATATATAGGTGTGTATATATATATCTATAAATACGTGTATAGATATAAATTTCTGGCAAATACCCAATTCATGTACCACATGCAGTTATGTTTCCAGATCCCACATAGAAAAAAGAAGTCGTAATTGGAAGACATAAGGAACAGCAGAATCTGCTAGAGGCAGTGAATGTCTCTTTGAGAGTCCAACCCTGCCAGAGGCTGGTCAGCATGCACTACAGCAGGGCTCACTCCTGACCCTTGAGGGACTGAACAGGTGCCTAAGAGTCTTCTCTGGCCAACCACCAGCATCTATGATCCAACTATCTTCACCACCACCACCACTACCAATAACAACTCTAGTAGCAGCAAAACAGCAAACCCATAACCAGCTATCGGAGAGCTGCTTGCTCACTGTTCCAAACTGTGCTTCACAGGGAACGGGCTAAAGATATCCTCATAAACAATCCAAAGGCAGCTAAGCAGTGACATTTCTTTAACGTTCTCTGTAAATACATTTGACAAATGAATTTGTTTAAAAATATAAAAACCAAGAGTTGCTTTATGGATTTGAGTGAAGGGAGGAGGGGGGTGCTTTTAATTTAGCATTCTCTAAAAGGATATATGGATGGATTTAAGTTCTCATACTAAACTTTAGTAATGAAGCCTTGAAAAGTTATTCACCAGATGATCCTAGCTGAATAGTTTTTCAATCACGTCCTTGATTCTTTTGACCTCTTTTACATAACACCAACTCTTATTTCTAGAAGGAGGTCATTTGCATCAAGAGGAAGGCTCTGATGAATGGTAAAAGGTATTTAAGGCTCCAACCCACTAGACTATGACTCCAAATGCTTTGTATTCATAGAAAATAAGATTTATTCTTACCACGTATTGGTGGAGAAAGGGCAGGAGGTCATACTTTGCTTCTAGTACTGACACCTGGTATTTGCTTTTATAAACTGAACAGCATTTCTTAGAAAAATATAAATATACATTACAAACGACTCCTTTCAGGTGCATTTTAAAATAGCAACTTTCTTGTTCAGACTACATACACACACACACACACACACACACTATCAAGTCTAACATATTATTTAACCTTGGGGAGAAACACATTTTCAGTCTAAACTTTATGTCAAAAGTAATTTTCGTCTTTAAGTTATAAGTCATTTTGATTTTAACTCTGTACTTATAGGCAGCATTTCTTGAAAGCCTAACAGGTTTTATTTTTATCCTTCTTCCAACATGACATGAACTATATCTCAGGGCTCCAAATTACTGTAGATGTAGTTAAGATGTAAATGTGAATAAATCTAAATAATTAAACCAGTTCATGTATTTCCGAGTAGACTGGGAATATAGAATGATAAATGAGTCATTTTTAAAAAATTAGTTTGATTAGTTTTGATATTTAATGACAGTGAGCAGAAGACTTTCCAGAAATTATTGAAGTCATTTACCATGAGGAAAAATAACTGAATGACCTTAGTAAGTATTTACAATACTTTAAGAAGGTCTAAGGTCTTTAGGTGAACAATTTCTAGGATTTATGCCAAACATATCTTTCATGTACTTGACAAAGTGATTCCCTTTTAAATTCCTTGAATGAGACGCAATATCTACTGTATATAAAATTATTCACAGTCCCTGTAGCTTTTTTCCTACTAATTTCTAGCTCAGATATAATTCTTGTAGGAAAGCTGTCCCAAATAATATCTTCTCCTGTTCCTCACAGTTATAGACATAAATCAGACAGCTAAACTTCAAGACTCTCATGATCATTGTTCTGGTCATTTCTCTGTCTTCATGAAGTTTGTCTATAACACTGTGAGTACAGTAGGTCTCATTGTCATTTGAACTTTGAGCAGAACTGAGTAACTGGAGTATAATGGAAGGTAGGGGAGAAAGGAAAGGAGGGAAAGATGAAGGGAGAAAGAAATGGAGGGAAGAAAGAAGGAAGGGAGAAAGGGGTTGAGGGAAGGATAGAAGGGAATGAGTGAAAAGGAAAGAAAGGAAGCATGGAAGAAAGAAAAATGGAAGGAGGAGTGAGAAGGAGGAAAGGAGTTTGATGAAAAGAGGGGGAAAAGGAAAGGAAAGAAGGGAAGGAGAGAAAATGGGGGTGAGGGTGAGAAGAAAGTAAGGATACAGGAAGGAAAGAAGGAGGGAAGAAAGAGGGAGGAAAGGAAGAAATATGAGAGAGGGAAGAAGGGAAGGAGATAGGAAGGAGGGAAGGAGAGAAAGAAAGGAGGGAAAGAGGAATGGAGGAAGAGAGAGAGGGAGAAGAAAGAAGAGAAAGAAGGAGGGGAGGAAGGAAAGAAAAAGGGAATTAATGCATCCCCTATGTGAGATAGCAATGGATTTAGAAGAATTTTTGATATTCTTTAGTCTGGCTAGAGTATCTCACACCTCAAAGTTCCTATAGCTGTGACTATGTGGCGTCTCCTACACTCTCTGCAACTCTTATTCTCTTGAAACCACGACTTCTTGGCTGTGGCAATAGCTCACAGTCAAATCTGAAACCCAGCACCCCATGGAGCACCAGCATGGCTGCCCTGGTGGACCCCAGCCCTAGTAGGTGACGCTAAACAACACTGCATCATTCTTAGCATTGAGCTCTCAGGTCTGCCTGGCCAAATATCTCAGAGGGTTACTCCTGAGCACTTCTGGAAAGCTATCCCCCTCCGCCTCCATGCAGCCTCTGTGAGGTTCAGTGGGAAGATTCTGAAGGATCTCAAATAAGGAGGCAGCATCATTTACTCCAGTTGATTTCAGAGTACAAGAGTTGTGCTATGACCAGCTTATTGAACCCAGTACCTTCCTTATGAAAAGCAATAAATAAAGCACTCTGCAATACAGACTGCATACATAGCTGCATTCCAGACACTGGGTAACACCCCATCTGAGTAGAGAAACAAGACAGTATTATAGTCGCTTACTCCTAAACCAAGACAAGTATTGCAGTTGTTCTCCCCAAGTTTACTAATTTTTTTAGACAATTTTATTTCTGACGACCTACTCTTTGATTTCCTTCTTCTCTGAGCATTTGCTTACCAAAAATAAAGTCCCATTATAAATTCTTTCTCTAACACTGGGATGTAAATCTTCTCCTTGTCTCTTCTAGTCTCTTGCCAGTTTTACAACACAGAATTTTCTTTCTCGGGAAGCTACAGGCCATACCTTTGTTTTGTAATTATCGGGAGTAATAGCAAATCCTCAGCTTGGTGATAGGGCAGCTTAATTTCAACAAGCATAATGAGAAAAGGGTGATAACTCAATAACCTCAAAGCCACTTCTCCCATACACGGATACTCTGGCTCACTCCAGTGCTTCAAGTCTACATTTTTGTTTCCCAGCAGAAACTGAGATCAATGTCTCTTACCTATTGTAATAATCTTGAATAATTTGGGGGGGTTTATTTTTTGGGGGAACACAACTGTTAGTACTCATGGGTTTACAATTGGCTCTGCATTCAGGAATCACTCCTTGCTGCCGCAGAGAAGCTTATGGGTTGCCTGTGGTTGAACCTGAGTCAGCCACGTGCAAAGGAAAGCATCCTACCAATGTACTATCTCTCTGGCTCCAGAATAAAAATCTTTGTCTGTTTAACTTTGGTGTGATTTTTTTCTTTAACACCCAATGAGAAAATGATCACAGCCATTCACATGTAAGTGCCCACAGGGACCAGGTTTGACCTGGTCCCAATATATATTTAAAATTAGTTGAAACTTCATCACTAATGCAGATGTAAATGTTATAGAGGGTCACACATTTTTAAAATTCAGTGAAGTCCTTTTAATGAGCAAGAGAATTATTTTTTCTTTTTAGAAGTGAGATTGTTTTATTTTAAAGTTATTATTTTAAAATTGCATGAAGGGGATAAGAAGCATCTACTCATTTCTAAGATATGCAGGTTTAATTAATATCCAGGAGCAAATTACCAGGTCTGTAAGTTTCTGAGCTAACTTGTCAATTTTCTACACCATGGAATGCAGCACACAGAGCAGCTTTAATTGCAACCCAGAAACCTTGCCGAGATCTTACTCTAAGGTGCCAGGGTTTTATTCTCCTCTGGTTTTAGCTAGTGATCAATGGTTTTGTGATTTGGTTGTAAAGGACTCAGGAATCAAACTGCTTGTATCCAGGTCACATATCCAATAGAACTGCCACTGGTCACTGATTCAATGCAGTAAATTATACTACAGAGACTGATGAGCAGAATATGATCAAGAGCTAGTTGATCATTATCACTTTGACTATTGTGTAAAAGAAACAGTGCTATAATTTCACAATTTTCTACTCTCCAGATAGAACCTCACGGATAGGTAGCATGTGGACTAAAAGATTGATTTTCAGACTTGTTGAACTGCTTGATCTATGCCTAACTCTTGAACTCTATTGTGAGACTCTTTTTTTTCCTCTTCCACTCAATCTCTGATTTTTTTCAGTGATGGATGGGCAGACAGAGATGAAGTCATTGAAGGCTATGAAGTGGAAGCCAACGGGGGAATCACGATCAAGCTGCAATCTCCAGAAGTCAGATCATTTGATGACTACTTCCTGAAACTGAGACTAGATACAAATAAAAGAAATCCCTGGTTCCCTGAGTTCTGGCAACATCGGTTCCAGTGCCGTCTACCTGGACACCTTCTGGAAAATCCCAACTTTAAAAAAGTCTGCACAGGTAACCTATGTTCACAACACAGTAGCTCTGAAGTTGGTTCATATATGAACCCATTGAAACTTGTTAAAAGTAACAAGATAGAAATCCAAGGATTGTTATTTATTCTTAATATTTCTGAGATAGCTAGAGTGAAGATGAAATGTATATGCTCACCCCTCTCTTCTGCCCTACCTCCACCCCTATCCAAAACTCCCTGCCCAAGAATTGACTTTTCTCCTTTCTAGAAAGAGTGCTTTTTACTTATGGAACAAATAATAACATAAGTAAAGTAAAATACAATGGAGAGTTCAGGAATATGGTCTTCAAGTTAAAGGAAGAAGAATTTGTTGTATTATAGAGAAGTTAACCCAAAATAGCACTGGTTTGATCCCTTTGTCTTCTTTATGGCTTGCTTTGACTGTGCAAGTCAGAAGATGAGAGAATATTATCCAGCATGGCCACTAACACCTTTGAGTGCTCAGAGGTGACATAAAACTCTCATTTGTAAGCAGAAATGATGGTTCTCAGTGAGACAGATACTTCCAATGCACTGTTTGTTGGCCTATTATTCCATGTCTCAGGACTTTGTGAACTATACAGTATGTGTCTTTCTGTTACCCTAAATCTACCATAACTCATACTTGTTAATATGGAAAACTCGTAAATGTTATTGTTACATAGAGACATTGATGATCTCCTTTCTTTTCCAGTATTGTCTATACTGCCAATATAGGTATTTGTGATCTACCATAAGCCCATTATCCATACTGGATTGCCCATGATGGGCATACATTAAAGACTCTATTCATGACCAAATTTGAATTATATAACAGTAGTGTAAATGTTTATTTCCCATGATGAACCCACACAGAGTTTATTTAGAAAGATCTAGAACATATTCATGCATACACTCATTACTTCAGCCATCATGTACAAAACAGTGTATTTAATAAGGGACATATGTATTTAATATACAATTTTTGATCTAGATAACTTGTGGTATTTCTGACAAAATCAAAATAATACATGAGTTATAGAGAGAATTACCAACTGAAGATGGTATTGATAATGTAATGTGAATATGGATAATTATATATCTTTATAGGTTTATTAATACTTACCTTTCAGTGTTACAAAATTCTTTAAAATATAATAATTTTTAAAATTTATAAGCAGTGCTCAGGGGTGTAGGGAGTCACTCCTGATGGTACTCTGACTCACTGTGTGGACCAATTTGTTTAATGCTTGGGCCAGGGGTGCTAAGCATGGGTGGGTATTTATTGTCAGAGTTCAAGCTCTGAGCCTCAAAAATGCCAGACTTTGAGCTATCGAGACTTTGAACTATCTCCCTAATCCTAAAATATCAATATATTTAAAGGCAGTGATATATGTTCACTTGGTAAGGCTCAGCAGAGTTCACTGAGAAGTGGCTAGTGTAGATCTATTTTCAATCAGTCTAGTTTAGGGGAAAGCTTTCAGTATGCCTTATTGGGCAGCTGAGAAATAGAATCTGGCAGAGTGTCAGAAGAGGAATAGAACAGTGCTAACCAGTGAATCGATCTCTGAAACACATATATCTATTGACTTCTTTATTTCAAATAAAAATCCAGTGGAGGTTTATAATTCTAATGGAGCAATAGACTCTCCAGCATATTCTCCTTATTATTTAAAAAAAAAAAGAACATGACAATCAAGGGGGATTAACTTTCCTAGGTTCATATAATTAATAGCAACAATAGAATTAGAACATATACCTCCTCAGTAATTCAATGTTTGACTGCTTTAGAATTGAGGTTTAATAATATACTTATTGTTCTTTAGTTATTTCCTGAATTATTTTTTAAGTCCTTCAGAACTTAAAAAAATTGAGAGTTCTGGCAATTCTCTTGGAATACTGTGCAATACAAAGAATTGGGATGGGGTGATGGGAAGGGAGAATTAAAATTTATCATTACCGTCAGTGTGAAGGTGATATTTGAATACATGTATGGAGACCATGGGAAAGTGCATGAAAGCTCTGGGAAAGGGCATCCCAGAGAGTATAGTAGTAGACTTAGGAACCACAGTGTCTGGCTTAATAGAAAAGCAAGAAGATTCTCAGCGCTGCTGGAGCCTGTGAGAGCCATGGAGAGCTAGCAGAGGACATATGGGGAGCAGACAGTGTAGGACTCAACTTGCCCTGGTGAGATTTTTTTATATTAATTTTTATTAAAAACACTGTGATTTATAAAGTTGCTCATTACACAGTTGTTTCAAGCATTTAGTGTTCCAGCACCACCAGTGGTGAATTTTCCTCCACCAATATCCCCAGTTTCCTTTTCAATCCCAACCTGCTCCCTTAGGCAATTTTACTTTGTGTTGCTAATTTCAATACTACTTTAAGAAGTGGCAAATAGAATAATCAGAAATCAGTAAGAGTCAATTGGTGATTACTATATGATTTTGACATAGGAAATAAGGAAATTAAAATCATTTAATGAAATATAATAAAAATCTATCCTCATTTACATATATAAGTTTTCAACTCTGAAATCTAAAATATATTACATTAAATTTTATTTTTTGCTTAGATCTCATTATGGGAAAAATAATGCCTCACCTATTATTAGTAAAACTTTTAAAGCAATTCTATATTAATGTATTTTGAAATTTACATGGAATAAATAAAGCATACATATGTAAATTTCCCCCTACACTATATAAACACTGTGGTTTATGAAGTTGTTCATGATTTTGACATCTGAGTAAGATGGGAAGTCACTGGGAAGTTCAAACAATACAGAGATATTCTCTCCTTATGTTTTCTGAAAATGCAATTGCTTTTTCTACTTTTTTTGTTGAGTCTTGATTAAGGGGAAACATGCATAAGGAAACAGAGCAATGAGAAGGATGTTGTAAGAATACAAGTGAGAACGTAGTAGATTCGCTCATGGATTGGCAAGCAAAATTGGTGGAAGTGATATCTGCTTTGAAGGAGAGCTAAAAGGAGCTTCTGACAGAATTGTTAGCAATGGCTGTGGATTGAGCAACAGGAAAGTGTTGTCAGTGACAGATGGGGAGGATTCCAGGAAATGCAGGTTGAAGAAGGATCAGGAACAAGATTTCAGAGGAATTGACAATCTTCTCAGTGATCAACTATGTGTGACTCTGGCATTGTGTCTTATTAGTGAAATTCAGAATATGGCTTTTTAAAAAATACTTGGATGTCTTTCAAGATTTTCAGCAAAAATATTTGGTGATATGAGCTCTTTTTTTGATTTTGCAGCCATGTACAGCAAATGCTAGGTTCTCAACTGTCACAGTACATGTAGATAAAGGTTAAAATATGAAATTGATTAATTTTTACCTTTAGGATGTAATTTGAAATTCATGAATTTATGTTATTTTGTTCTCTATTTTCAATGAAATTTTAAAAGATATCATTATATATCATTAATAAACAAGCATATTTTTATTTAATTATGGAGTCAAGTTGTAAACATTTTCCTTTGTCTTTAGTTCTATTAAAGTCAGAAATTTTTTTGTCACAAGTACAATATATTTTTTTAATTTTTATTAGTGAGACACCATGAGGTACAGTTGTAGACTTACAATTTTTTGTGCTTGGGTTTCAATTATACAATGATCAAATACCCATCCCTCCATTTCCCACTACCATGGATCCCAGTATCCCTGCCACCCCCCATCCCTTCATCCAACCCTGCTTCTGTGGCAAGGCATTCCCTTTTGTTCTCTCTCTCCTTTTGGGTGTTGTGGTTTGCAAAAGAGGCAATGAGTGGCAGTCATGCTTTGTCTATAGTCTACTTTCAGCATGCTTTTCCCGTCCTGGGAGGATCCTCCCAACACCCTTTTGTTGGTGCTCCCTTCTCTAACTGAGCTGCCTTTTCCCCTAGCATGTGTGGCTGGCCTCCAAGCCATGGAGCAAAATTCCTGGTACTAATCTCCACCATTCTTGGGTGTTAGTCTCCTATTTTGTTACTTTATCTTCCCCAGATGAATGCAATCTTTCTGTGTCTATCCCTCTCTTTCTGTAAAGTCAGAAATTTTGACTCTCTCTCTCTCTCTCTTTTCCTCTCTCAACATAAAGCCAGACATTTCATACATCTTTTCTATCTGGAATTAATTCATAAAATGTACTGATATTTTCTGTTTCAGAGATCCTAAAATTTTATCTTAGCTGTGTTTGTCTATGATATTTATGTGTTTATACACTCATGTCAACTTACTTTATACTTCCAATAGTAGGATTTTATGCATAAAATATTCCAACACATACCTGTTACCTGTTACCCTTGACCATTGTTTCAGAATATCTCTCCCTTTTGTTTTCCACCTCAACACTCACATCCCTTTCTTCACATCTTATTGTCATGATAAACTCTATTCTGTGCAACAGTTTTTAGTCAAGTAGCTATTGGTCATTTGTTGTTCCCTTATTATGTGTTTCTATATCCCGCATATTAGAGTGATAATTATGTATCAGTTGCTTTCCTTTCAGTCTACTTCCAGTTGACTTAACCTAGCATAATACTTTCCAGTTCCATTCATTGTTGTAGCAATCCTATGATTTTATATTTTCTTATGGCAAGTATATAAACTATCATGATATTTTGTATTCAATCTTCTGTTTTTGAATATTTGAGTAGCTTCCAGATTTGGGCAATTATGAATAATTTTTAATCTTCACATTTGAAACAAATTGACTTTAATGTATTGAATAACAATATAAACTTAAAATGATTCTTATATAATTGAGATCCTTGACTATCAAATTATTTTCATAGTCTTCTAGTGAATATGTAGATCACTATCAGTATCATTATCACCCCATTGTTCATCGATTTGCTTGAGTGGGCAAAGTAATGTCTCCATTCGTCCCTGTTATGTGCTAGTGTAGCCCGATGACATATTGGGGGCTCTTTCAGGGTCAGGGGAATGAAGACCATCATTGTTACTGTTTTTGGCATATCAAGTACACCACGGGGAGCTTGCCAAGCTCCCTGTGGATATGAATATGCAGA